TTTATTAATGATGTTGAGATCTACTAATTTTATGATGAAAAGTAGGCCAGACAGGCTGTACAGGTAATACTCATGGACTTCCTGTGTATACTGTTTGTGTATAGGGCTTCACACAGGGTGCCAAGCATGTAAAATTTAGTCCCTCCCCTTACCTGAGAAAACCGTACGGTTAAAAATCTCGGCCTTTAAATAAAACTGGTTTTGAAAATCAATGGTGTTTCAATTGAAATTAAGGCACATTGAATTTTAAGTTAAGGGAAAACTGGTATTTTAATGGGATTTATAGACAATTGAAAATACTGTTTTTTAAAAACTGGTAAATCAATGGTGGTGAAAACACTGGTCAAAGGACGGTCTCATGAAATTCAATGGAAATATAATGGAATTTCAATGAAAACATGAATTTCAATGATATTTTAATGGAATTTCAATGGGAAAAAGCCAGTTCTTTTCTCTAAGGGTTACTCCCCTGTTTTAGAACTTAATTAAATATACATCTTCATCAAAGCTTGATTTGGGGGGCAAATATTGGTTATTAACGAATAAAGTTCTTTATTGGTATAAAGCTTATGAACCCTTGGAGGTCATCCACTCTCCTAATGGAAATTATAAATAAAAGAGCTTCATTGATAAGATTGCTTGACATTTTACATATTTCATTCATGAATTTTTATCAACCTGTCCTCCTAGAATTAGGAATGAAAATCATTCAAAGAGATGGACCACATTAAACTATTTGTATATTTTACAATATGTAACATTTTTTTAGAATTTAAAAACAAGTAGTAGTTTCAAGTTTGCATACATGAACAAACAGGGGTCTGGGAAGGGGCGAGTGGAAGGATCGAGTTGATATCTTGATCTTTACGTCTAAATGGTTGAAACTCCTAAAATGAATGTTGACCTCTAATCTGCCAGGTGTCCTTATTATTTTTCAAGTGGTGGTGTCTCCATATGAGTAAAAAATTCAGGGTGAGGGAACAAATGATATAAAAAACACAATATTTATTAATTTACGTTAAGAAATATGCATGGGATTTTTTTCCATCATAAATCTTCTTCTCAAGAACAGCAGAGGCATTATTTTCCCTCATTTTTGGGAAAGGGAGGGGACATTAAATCTCATTTGTCTGTCAGTCTGTCCATCTTATTGACAGTATGTGCATCTGTCACAATGCATTTAACCTTGGTCATAGATTTTGAATAATAAGAGATAGGGCTTTCATATTTCACATGCATATTATCACAAAACTTTCTAAATATACTATGAATTTTTAACCCAAGTGAGATCTTGACCTTAAAGTTTTATACCTACCGGTACTTTCCAAAAAATAACATTTATTTAAATTGATTATTTTGAAAGAGAAAAGATGGGGCATTCAAATTATACATTGTATATTACATGGGAAAAGATTTGCTAAATATATCATGACTTTTGACTCTGTGACCTTGACTTAGAAGTTTAACCTACTTATCAAAATATTATATTTCCTTATAACTTTTGATTGAAAAGAGATAGCACTTTAATATTTGACATGTACATTACTGACAACAAAATATTTTCGAGTATTTGCTATGATTTTCCCTTTTGACCTAATTTTCAAAAATTGACAAATGATAGGGGTGCATATTTGACACACAATCTGCCATAAATTATGGCATCCCATTCACTAAAACACAGAAAGCGGAGGACCACAATTCTTTGAATTGCTTGTATAATCTTGATGTGGAAACATCCTCATATAATGTAGATTCAATTTTTTTTATGCCACGCCATGATTAGGAATACATGTATAGTTTTTGTCGTGTCCGTCCTCCACCCTTCCATCTGTCTTTCCATTGGGCTCAAAGAAACTATTCTAGAAATTTTTATCAAACTTCATCTGCTGATAAATATTGAGGAGAACTCTGCAACTGCATCAACATTTCTTGACCTTGACCTTCTTTTGACCTTCACTTCGCTTTTAGCTCAGTTTAAAAGATTCTATTCAAGATGGTCTGGTCAAACTTCATATGTTGATGCATACTGATGTAAACTATTCAACTGCTGCAATTTTTTTACCTTGACTTTTCTTTTGACCTTCACATAACTTTTCTTCTTTTCTCTAAATTAGTGTTTAGTTTAATTTAAAGAAACCATTCAAGTTGTGTATTGAAACTTCAGATGATATATATACTGATGTAAGCTTTACAATGCTTCACTCTTTTTTACCTTGACCTTTCCTGTGACCTTGACCTCACTTTTCTAAAATTAATGTATAGATCAGTTTTGAATAAACAATTCAAAATATATTTAATTATCAAACTTCATATGCTGATACACTGTACATACTACTGAGAGCTATTAATGCATCAACTTATTTTGACCATGACATTTCCTTTGACCTTGACCTCACTTTTTTGAATTAGTGTTTATCTAAGTTTTAAATAAACCATTAATTATATTTTTATCAAACTTCATTTGTTAAAAGTAAATTCATACTGATTTCAGCTTAAATTCAACCGCAACAACATTTTGACCCCAACCTTTCCTTTCACCTCTCTTTTCTTAAAAAAAGTGTTAAGCTAAGTTTCATTAAATCATTCAAGATATTTTTATCAAACCTAATATGATGATATGTATTAGTGAGAGCTATTCAACTGCATCAAAAACTTCACCTTGCACATTCCTGTGACCTTGATCTCCCTCCTCTTTAACTTGTATTTTGCTTAGTTTTACCGAAATAATTTAAGATACCCCCGGTATTTGTTTAACATGCACTTATACATAATTTGGCCAGAATTTATTATCTATATCCAATTTATTAGCTCACTGAAGACTCAAGTGAGCTTTTCTGATTACATTTTGTCTGGCATCCGTCTGTCTAGCTGTCTATCTGTCTGTCTGTAAACTTTTCACATTTTCGACTTCCTCTCAAGAACCGCTGGGCCAATTTCAACCAAACTTACCACAAAGTATCCTTGGGTGAATGGAATTCATTGACAAGTTCCTTCAAATGAAGGGCCACGCCGGGCACGCCCTCATTCAAGGGGAGATAATTGGGAATTAATGAAAATTTGGTGGTGTTTTAAAAATCTTCTTCTCAAGAACCACTATGCCAGGAAAGATGAAACTTATGGGGAAACATCCTCAGGTAGTGTAGATTCAATTTTGTTTAAATCATGACCCCCCGGGGATAGGGCAGGGCCACAATGGTTGCATGACCAAAGTTTTACATAGAAGTATATAGGAAAATTCTTTAAAAATCTTCTTCTCAAGAATAGCAAAGCTATAATTGATCATATTTATATGGAAGCATCCTCAGGTAGTGTAGATTCAAGTTTGTTCAAATCATAACCCTCAGAAATAGGGCGGGGCCACAATGGCCAACCAAAGTTTTACATAGAAATATATAAGAATTTTTAAAAAAAATCTTTTTCTCAAGACATAATGGATCATATTTATAGTATTAAATCAATCTTATAATTTATTTTTATATATTATCTATGTAATGACGTACTTTTATTGTGTAAGATAATAAGTGCCTGTTCTGTTTTGGATCAAGCGGTTTTAAGGTTTTCAATCACATGTCCTTGTTTTTCAGATGCACCAGATGCAGCAGCACTGTCTCCATCACTGGTGAAATGGGATATGACTATAGTGGACAGACATCACTTTGTAACTCACCAAAACCACACCTCCCAACCTTATTAATATTCAGGGTCATGAACCCAAGGGAGCATTCATTGCATCAGCTATTTTCTTTAAACAAGGAAAGACAACTCAAGATTTTCTTTAATGGTATAGTCAGTTTCTTTTATCAATTTATATACATTTAAATTGTGATAAAATTGGAGGGGGGGGGAGAAAAAATATTGTGAGATATGTTTTATTTCATTAAGATCACTTCTGGTCAATTTTTATGTTGAATAAGTAAAACATTAACACAGTGTATTTTCAGTATAAAATACTGCAGAGGTATATAAATGTGTTCACTAAATTTCTGTTTAATAAATACAGGTAAATTGAGTTTCAAATTATACCTGATTTCACATAAGCTACATATCTGCAGCTACTAGTGCATGTAAATATTTCTGGAAGGTATCTATCTACATAATCATATTCAGTTATTAATTTTTTCTGTTAACTGAATTCAACAAAAATAATTTAAACTGATATGCATACCATTTATATATCATGACTCATATTGAAAAAAAAGACAAAGTAAACAAACAGCATTCAATCATGTTTTTATTTACAAGAAATTTACTAAGCACTACATGTAGACAGACAATGGAATGTTCATCAACAAATAAGTTGTATATTGCAGGCATATGTTATAATAAAGATTATGCTGTTTAAAAATGAAGTAAAAATTTACATATCAATATTTAGATCCCCTTCACAAGATCTCCAAATTTTGACTATTTTTAATAAACAAAATTAAGTGCACATGTACATTCTAAATATTTTTTTTTCCTACTCAAAAAAATTAAACTTCCATTTTTAAAGATAATCAACCTTATAATAAAATTCATGGTAAAAATATTCAAGTGTTTCTTTCTTTACTGATCTGGTTTAAAATACATGTGTAATTACAATATGTAATTCAATACCAGTGAGAGCTACATGTAGCTATTACCTCCCTTTTTCGCAAACATTTTCTATACTGTGACTGAATTAAAAAAAATCAGTTTTAAGTTACAAATCTTATCATTTTATAACTTATGAAGTCACCTGCATGGCACAGTGGCAAGAGCATCTGCTCGAGAGTCATGAGTAAGGAGTTGATCCATAAATTGCTGGTTCGAAATCCCACAGTCGGACATAGATGAGACTGTATATACAGAGGTCCTGTGTTGCAGTAGGTGCTAGTACCAAAAAGATCCCTCATTGCTCAATTAGCCATGTATGCCAAGTAAAGGACAAAATTTGCAGCTCTCCACCGACAAATGTTGGCTTCCCCGTATAAGTGAAAATTTCTCAAGAAGAATGTTAAACAACGTACAAATAAACAATAAACTATAGAGCCTTTGAGTATGCAAATTCTTTTTTTCTGAGAAAGGGATCCTCAAATGATGTTTAGATATGGTTCATATGAGTAGAAAAGTACTGTATCATCCCAGCTAGTCTTCATGAATTCAGCAACCATTTGTTATATGGCCTGAAAAATATAAAATGTTAATGCATTAAAATAAAACTATATGATTGATATTTTTATAATTCATCATAAATTCATTGAATCAATAAAATAAAGTCACACTTGTTATCTTGAAATGCTCATGGGACTGCTGAAAAAACTGAGATATCCAAGAGATTCAGGGTAAGATATATAGAAGAAAAAAAATGTCGTTCAAGGGACTTTAAAATGACTTTGATATCTCAATGTGTTCAAAATATCACTCAGTGTCAACTGTCAAAGATATATACCAAAGTTCAACTCTAAACAGAGTACATAAAATTCATATACATGTATGCCATTTACAATTGCTAATTCAATCTATCATTGTTCATTAATAATCTGCATGAGAAAGAGATATGTGCAAAATGAGCAAATTAAACTAACAAAAGTAAATCATATATATATGCAATTCCAAGTGTTTGCAAATCATTCATCCAATTTGTAATACTGTCATGAACGTCAACATACCCTAGGTTGTCAAAGTTTTTTGATTTTAAGATACTGTTGTTTAACTGTACTTATTTAGACTGCACTGTATTCACGTGTTTCCCAACAGTATACATTTTTCACATTATCTGAAATCCATCATTACTATCATGATGAGAGTTATGCCCCTTTTCTATAACCCCAAAATATTGCTTTCCCGCACCTCAGATCTCCACATTTTTTCCTTATTCAAAATAAGGAAAAAATGCGGACGGGAGTATTTGGACTAATTTTCCGCATTCATTCCAGATTTTCTCCGTATTCAAATTTCCAGATTTTCTCCGTATTCAAAATATGGAGAAAATGTGGATGGGAGTATTTGGACTCTTTTTCCGTATTCTCTCCAGATTTCCGCATTTCCATATATACAAAATATGGAGGTATTTACTTGGTTGATAAAATGCGGAAATACAGAAATCTGGAGAAAATACAGAGTTAATCACATGGTTATAAAATGGCTAATAAAACCGCTACATGATGCATACATACATAAATATTTACAAAACCATCAACAATGTGCAAAATTATATACAATTTATTATATCATTATGAGAAAAAAACATATAAATGAATGAACAAAATTACACATTATGTTCATGAGCAATGTATTGGATCTTATATCTTTGACAAACAAATAGGAGCATGTATGGAAAAAAAACTGGAACTCTTATTTAAGCCACAAGTTCATCATGGAAAAAATGTGGCATTTTTTAATATTCATATTAAATAAATGGAAATTTATTCATTCTATTTAAGCAAAAGTGGGAGTGAAATGTTCAACACTATTAGGTATTGGGGAAAAAATAACAATTGACATAGCATTGAATATTTACAAAACAAGAAAAAACTTTAGACATTTTTTATCAATCTGGATCACATTTGCCATTTTCTACCTGCATCCCTGATTCATATTTCTCACAATTCAATTTATATCTCAGGTCTGTGCTTTACACCCATCTGTCCAATAAAAATTTTCTTCAGACTTCTTTGTAATTTGTAAGGTCTCTGCATGTTTAATTTCTTGCAGCAGCACTTGCGGTCGAATTGTCAAATCCTATCAATTAAAAAAAAAGTTCTTAAATTATAATGGTGCAATATTAATAATATTTAAATTCATTGCTTTTATTCCTTTTAAAATCTTTTTATAAACACAAGTTTGGGTTCTTCAATTTAATATCAATTTGTTTAAAATATTATTTATAATAATGACAATCATAGTTGACTGTTTTTAATTAAACAAGCAATAAAAAAAGAAATAAAAGAATATATATACCTCAGACATAACCATCCATGGACCAAGCTTTAAGCCCGTTAAAATCGCAGTAAGTTGAATAAGCACTTATTCTTTTTCAGAAATCTCCTCCTCATGCACAGACGCTACCAAAAAAAAAAATGTATGGTAAATCATTGCTAGAGATTACAGCCCATGGCTCACCAAAATTAACACCTTTAATTGTGGTTAACCATAATAAAATTCTATGAGCTGATTGAAAGTTTTGAATCATGGGCATATTGGCTGAAACGTACATAGCCTGGTAGCTCAGTCCTAGGCCTAGAGTATTTATTTTCATCATCACAGTGACACACATGTTAAAAAAAATATGACTGACCTACCGCATATGAAATACGTGTATCTGCATCTTTTGGTTGATACAGCAATACGATCTCAGGCTGTCTGGTCAACAAACTTCTTCCTTTAGACAGAGCAGACGTTGCAACATGGAGGCCAAGGTTAAATTTTGGCGGTCTGTTGTTTAAATTAATTGATCACTGAGCCCGACTTTTTGAAACATTCTTCCGATCCCGATCAAATTGTACATAACATTCAGGAGAAACAGAGAACTGCTGTTAACTCCAAGACAGTTTTTATGCACCCAAATTTTTTTTGGGCGCATATTGTTTTTGTCCTGTCTGTCTGTTTAGCTGTATGTCTGTCTGTTTGTTTGTCTGTTGTCAACTTTAACCTTCGCCATAACTTTTGAACCATGAGACTTAGAGACTTCATATTTGGTATGGATACTCCACTACAAAAACACTTTCAACTGACACCAAGGTCAATGACCTTATGACCTTGACTGTGACCTATATGCTAAAAATAGCTTTTTCGAACTTTCGCTATAACTTTAAAACCGTGAGAGATAGAGACTTCATATTTGGTATGCATACTCCACTAATTAGGCACCTTCAACCGACACCAAGATCAATGACCTTGTGACCTTGACTGTGACCTATGTGCTAAATATAGCTTTTTTCGAATTTTCGCCATAACTTTTGAACCATAGATGATAGAGACTTAATATTTGGTATGCATACTACACTAAATAATAAAGTGCTTTCAAATGACACCAAGAACAATGATTGTGTGACCTTGACTGAGACCCATTTGCTAAAAATTGCTTTTTAGAACTTGATGTTGCCGCCAGGTGCTACTGTGTCTCACAAACACATCTTGTTCTTGATGAAAAAATTCTAAGTCCAGAGCTCCGTATTTTTTCCGGATGAAAAATATTCTAAGTTAAGAGTTCAATATTTTTCCAGATGAAAAATAGACTAAGTCCAATTCTCCGTATTATTTCCGTTTATTTTCCGGATTATTTCCGTTATTTTCTGCTTTTCCGTATTGTTAATTTTCTCCGTATTTTTTTCCACATTTTTTCCATATTAAAATGAGGAAAAAATGCGGAATAATGCGGAAATCTGGAGATCTGAGGTGCGGGTTCTTTCTGAAAATTTTAGCTTTTTTGAACTTACATAGATATCAACTAAAGTCTCCATAAAATAGGTATTTAAATTATGAAAACTTGTATTATTTTAATCTCTACTTAACTTAAAAGCCAAGAAATAAACAAAATGCTTTCCCAATATTTACATAGGACTTTCAAGATAAACATTCTGTTTCTAATTATGGCACATCCATTACCCTTGATTCTGGGATTCTGTACTAGGATGTATTCGTTCAAAAAATATGATGTATCATGGCCCTGATAATCTTGAATAGATTTCGTAATAAAAGGCTTCAGCCTTAAATATTCCAGAATAAAACTTTGACCCCCCACTGTGGACCCACCCTACCCTATAGCTATATGATCTGAACAAATCTAAATCTGCTCTTAACTATCTCAGAGTGACTAATAATGACCTGCCTATTCTTGAAAAGAATTAAGATTTAATTTTTTGTCTACGGATTACTATTGTTCTCTCTATTTTATTGCTGTACTCTATATACAGCAGAACTCGTTTAGTACGAACACGGATATTGTGAATTTACGGTTATAGAGAAGTCATCTTGGAGCACCAGCTATATAAATTTAATGACTTTCTTACACGGTTATAACGAATTACAGATATGGCGAAGTAATTTCAAAGGTCCCAGTGACTTCGTTATAACCGAGTTTTACTGTATATCAATAACATATCATCACCAGTAATCAACATACCTTCTCTTTGGACTTGACATCCATTCCTAGATTCTCGTGGTTGAAGCTTTCATCAATTTGTTTTGTTACAGCTGAACTACAAATATGATTAATAAGTTAATACAATCCTCTACGTTTAATTAATCCATATAAAATACAAGCATTTGCAATAATGTGGAAAGAAAACTGAATGAAAAATACTGACAAATATCAATGCACTACATGCAAATCAGAAAAATATGTAATGCAATCATTTACAGTTTGGATAATATGCTGATTATGTATCAACATAATTTTCAGTTCATTAAATTGTTTGCTGAAACAGACAACCAACTGTATTTATAAATTATCTTTTAATGGATTTTCTTCTGCCTTAATTTGAACTTACATGTACTTAATTATGCAGCATGATAATGTGAGATTTTTTTCCACCCATTCTTTATTATTGAAGTATCTGCTGGAAATAGAACAGAATGTGATTAAATCTCTTGAGAATTAAACAAAAACAAAAATCACTGATGCATGATTTTCAATTATATTGACCGTTTTATCAACATCTCTCTCTCTCTCTCTCTCTAACTATATATAACTTTACACAGGATTCTTTTATACATTGATATACCTGTACATGTAGATATTGGAGTAATTGGGCATGCTTAATATTTTTATTTGTTTATTCCAATCAGCATGATCAGGATGATAATAATTAAATAATAATGTTGCATATTAAATATGTTATAATTTTTCCTTACAGTTACATATACAATACTCACAACAGGCAAACCTTGAACTAGCACATCACTGTCTTCAGAGTATATCCTGCAAGAAACATTTGATCACTGCACATTACAAATGAATTGATTTGATTTTCTTTTTTAAAAGTTTATATTTGCTTTTTTTTTTATTTTAATGAAATTATAATTTTTGTGCATTTAATACAGTATCATCACTATCATATGCATACAAATTGAAGACCATTTTTAAATTCAATCAACTATGTCATTCTTCAAAAGAAATGACATACACTGAATACATGTAAAGATCATTGAAGCCCATATTTTAAAAGTGGAGAAAAAAATATATTTTCTTGTGTGTATAATTTGTGTGGGATGGTGCATATCATTAAAAAAACAAACAACAAAAAAGGACGGAATGTCTCAATAGCTGACTTTACAATGCAAGGCTAAAAAATAATTGAAGGCCCACTGGACTGGGGTCAGTGATTTTTGTTTTACCTAGGATAGTACATGGTAGGGGGCATCTGTCTTTTGGGTCAGTTCTATGTACATGTATAACAAAATACAATTATAGTTGGGCTAGTAACTTGACAGGCTTGTTTCAAAGTTCTGTCATTTCGGAATCCTATTTTGTTTAGATTAATTATTTGTCCAACTGTGTATCACATTAAATAAACAAAATATAACTATTACATTTATCATGATTATTATTATTATTATTATGGTTTTGGGTCAGTCTCTTTTTATTAAATCTAGTAACCTGGGAGTGGGATAGTGATATTATGATGATCTGACCAGTAAAAAGCCTGAGTGAGCAGTGAAAGAAAACTATTTCTAGCCTGGGCCTACAATGATTTCACATTTGTGCTTCATTACATACATTTTCTAAATTCAATAATGTTTGTTTATTTAACCTTATAGGGTCAATTGTGTTATTTTTGTCATACCTGGAGATGGCTGTTCAAAATGTACTCTACAGCTGTACCTGCAATAGACAAACAAAAAAGAAAATTACTTTTCATTTAACACATTGAAATAATCAAACAATATGTAAATTAAATACATGTATTCTTACAAACAAAAATGCAAAACATCAATGTAAATTATCTTTTAGCAATATCTTTTCATTGCACAGATTGATGCACGCATGCATGTAATTTATTATACCCCCCGCTTGAAAAGCGGGAGGGTATATTAAGTAATCGGTATGTCTGTCCGTCTGTTATGCTTTGGTGTACCCATCTCTTAACCGCTAATTCCTCCAATACCTAGCAATTAACCTCTATTATTTCTAAAAGTTTGTTCCTTGCATTTGGATTATTAATTTTTTTGTAATTATAATAATCTAACTCTGGATTCAGAACCAAATTAAAATCTCCACACCAGATAATGTTACTACACTGCAAATCTTCTATATGATTCTGTATATTTTCAAAAAAATCGGGTTTATCAGTATTCGGAGCATAAATATTACATATCAATACCTCATGGTTCTCTATATTTGTTTTAAGTATAAGATAATTTCCATCTGCATCTCCTTTTTCTGAGATTACTTTGATATCGGTATTAGCATTGATCAAAATAGCAACCCCTCTTGAATTAGTGGTATATGAGCTAAAAAAACATTGGTATCCCCACAAATTTCGAATATCATTTTCCATTTCCGATGAGAAATGAGTGTCTTGCAAACAATATATATTACACTTTAAAGACTTGAGGTAATTAAAAACATCTCTGCGCTTTGCAATATCACCAAGACCTTGACAATTGACTGAAATTATTTTAACCATAGGGTATTTGTATAGAACTAGACATATATGTAAATAAATGACACCCAAAGGGATTTCGGAACCGAGCAGCAGAACAAAGAAAAGAGAAGAGAGAGGAAGAAGAAGAGAAAGGATAGAATAACACAAACATATATATGACAAATGAAAATAGAGTAACTGTGTACAAGTAAAAGTTTACTTTCAAAAGGCAAGTGGCTTGAGTAGCATCATTGGCATGTCCTTCTTCTTTATACGGTCAAAATCGGAAGTAGGAAGGGCGTAATAAATGCGGAGCCCATAGCGGTTAGTCCTTAGAATTCCGGTTTTTTAATTTGTATTCGATATCGTCCAGAATGTCGAATTTCATTCGTTTTTCACCCACACTGGCATACACGAAGCCATTGAAGTACCATGCTGATTTAATCTCCGTGTATTCCATTAGTTTTGCAATGAGTTCGCTGTTTTCCTTTGTCACGTCATCTCCTAACCTCACATTGCCCTCCGACTCTTTGACTTTTGACCTTTTTCGCATAACTTTAGCTTTTTTGTCTGCATTTTTAAATTTTATTAGGATAGGTCTTGGGGCCTTTGGTTTTCCCGGTATGCGATGAATCGCAATAATGTCATTATCATCGATATCTACATCTCCCTTTGATTTCAGTATTTCTTTTGCAACCTGCAAAGTATCTATGCTATGTAGATCCGTTTAGGCAACTTCATGAAACACTTCGTAGATATTCATGGAGAAAAAAGTCTCCATTTAAGCAAAGTAGGCTTGACTTCTTCCTACTGTCAGATTCACTTTTATCAGGATTAGATACATGTACTATAGAACCCAGTTACAGATCAGATCACTCTATTATTTCTCTTTCGCTGATATTTAATGACTTTAAGAGAGGTCGCGGTTTGTGGAAATTTAATAATTCACTGCTTTATGATGAAAATTACTTGAACTGTATTAAGGATGTTATTTTACAAGTCAAAAAACAATATGCAATCTCGGTATACAACTATGACAACCTCCATACAGTGCCAGATGAAAATATATGCTTCACTATCAATGATCAATTATTTTTGGAAACCTTACTATTAGAAATAAGGGGTAAAACTATATCTTATTCAGCATATGTCAAAAAGAAGAGAGAAAATGAGGAAAAATTATTGATCGAGGACATTAAATGTATGGAAGAAAATATTTCTGAAAGTAATTTAGAAGAACTAAATGATAAAAAACAAGAATTAGAAAAAATTAGAAAGCACAAGTTACAAGGTAATTACATAAGAAGTAGAGCAAGATGGATTGAGGAGGGGGAAAAGCCCACTAGTTACTTTTGCAAACTGGAGTCTAGAAATTTTACAAGTAAAATTATACCAAAATTAGAAACAGATAATGGCAAGATTATTCATGATCAGTCACATATTTTGAAAGAAATTAAATCCTTCTATGAAAATCTATACACCATTAAAGAAGAAAATACAGACTTAAATCTAGATAATGAGTTAAATAATACTGATGCTCCCAAACTTTCTTGTGAAGAATCAAACAATTTAGAGGGCGAAATAACCTTGTTAGAAGCCTCGAATACTCTTTATAATATGAAGGCTAACAAATCTCCAGGATCAGATGGTTTTTCCACAGAGTTTTTTAAAATGTTTTGGAAATATATTGGGCATTTTGTTGTAAGATCTATTAACTATGGTTACAGGAATGATATTATGTCTATTACGCAAAGACATGGAGTTATAACTTTATTACCTAAGGGCGACAAGCCAAGACATTTCATTAAAAACTGGCGTCCTATTACATTGCTAAACACTGTATACAAAATAGCATCTGGCTCCATTGCAAACAGATTTAAGAAATATTTAGATAAAATAATCAACCCTGACCAAACTGGTTTTATCTCCAACAGATACATTGGAGAAAACATAAGATTGATATATGATATAATGCACTTTACAGAAGAAGAAGATATTCCAGGACTTTTATTATTAATCGATTTTGAAAAAGCTTTTGATTCTCTTTCCTGGAACTTCATACAAAAAACTTTGCACTTTTTTAATTTTGGCCCTTCCATTAGAAAATGGGTCACTCTTTTCTACACTGACATTAAAGCTACGGTTAATCAAGGAGGTAACTTTTCTGATGTAATTAAAATTCAAAGGGGATGCAGACAAGGAGACCCTTTGTCTCCATATATTTTTCTGATATGCGCTGAGATTTTAGCTATACAAATTAGGAAAAATAAAAAAATAAAAGGTATCACCATTGGAAATGTAGAAAAAAAGATATCTCAACTGGCGGATGATACTTCCCTTATTCTTGACGGAAGTGAGGAGTCTCTTTTAGAAACACTGAATACCTTGAACACTTTTTCGAATATGTCTGGACTATGTATTAATTACTCAAAAACACACACTGTCTGGATTGGATCAAAAAAATACAGTGATGAGGTTTTAATCCCAAATTACCAACTTAATTGGGGAACAACTAGATTTACTTTGTTAGGAATAAATTTTGATGTTGACTTGGAAAAAGTGCCTGAAATAAATTACCAACCAAAGCTAGTACAAATAAAATCCATTCTTAGTCAATGGGGAAAAAGGTTTATAACACCAATAGGAAAAATTACTGTTATAAAGACGTTGGCTTTACCAATATTAAATCATTTACTTATGTCAATCCCAAATCCATCTAATGTTTATTGTAAAAAATTGGAAAAACTTTTTTTCTCATTCTTATGGAATAACTCAACACATAGAGTTAAGAAAGATGTCATTGTTAAAAGCTACGAAGATGGAGGACTGAAAATGATAAATTTATATTCTTTCATTGCTTCATTGAAATTATTTTGGATTAGACATCTGGTTTATACTAATAAAGGGTGGGAAAATTTCATAAAGAATATGAACATGTATAAATTTACATCCTGTGGAATTGAATACATCACTCAACTTATAAAAAGCTTAAAAAATAAATTCTGGATTGATGTGTTCAAGTCCTGGATTGATTTGAATAAAATTTGTAGTAATTCTGAGGTAAATGTGGACTGTCCATTGTTTTATAACCCTAATATCCATATTGGAGGGAAAACCTTTTATAGTAAAAAACTTTTTGACAATAATATTAGATATATCAATGATATCATTGGAGTAGATGGTACCTTTTATAGCTATGAATGCTTTTGCAATATTTATCCAGATGTAAAGATTAATTTTTTAGAATATTCTAGTTTAATCCATGCAGTTAAAGCTTGGATAAAGAGGAGTAATTTTGAGAAAAATTTACAAAAATCAGAAAATCCTCTTATTACATCTAATTGTTATCTGGTATCAAAATGTAAAAAATCAAAAAATTTCTATGAAATATTAAATCAAAACTCTTCTGTGTCAGCTGGTTTTAAGAAATGGATTGAATTATTTGAATTAGATAACAAGGAATCCAAAATAATCCATAAATTACCTTTTAAAATTACAAAAAACTGTAAACTCCAGTGGTTTCAGTACAGAATTCTAAATAAAATATTGGCAACTAATTCATTTTTATTCAAAATCAGAAGGGTAGATTCTAAACAGTGTAATTTTTGTCAAAGAGAAGTAGAGACAATTGAACATATCCTATGGGAATGTGATTTTGTACAACTATTCCTTGAAAATTTTGAATATCATCTTCAACAGAGAAATCTCCAGTTGCCCATAACCAAAAAGAACTTCATTTTAGGCATTAAAGGGAAAAATAATGAAATAGCGAATATTATAGTTTTATGGCTAAAATATTATATTTATACTTCTAGATGTACCGAAAAACCTCTAAATGTGCACTATGCAATATCACATTTAAATCAATTTTACCAAACACAAAAATATATATCATATAAAAATGGTGAAAAAGAAAAATTTGACACTCAGTGGAACAGGTGGAACCAACTCTTTTTCTAGCTCTCTCTACTCTCACTCTCTTCCCCCTCCCCCTCCCTCCCCCCTCTCTCTATCCTCTCTCTCTCTCTCTCTCTCTCTCTTTCTCATATATGTAAAAATACACAATTATGTCACAATGACTAATTATGAATATTCTGTATGAAATGAATTGTGTTTAAAAAAATAAAATTAAAAAAAAAAAAAAAAAATTCCTCCAATACCACTGAGTGATATTTGATGACTTTCACAGAATCTATATTACACATTGCAATTGTGCATCTTCTATTTTACTTTTTGATCAGCCACATATTTGGGGTTTCCCATAGCAAAACATGGACACAGTCATTATATTCATATGAGAATTAGTGGTGATTATCATTTAGTGTCAGAGCTCATTGCTCACAGTACCTCTAGTTTTGTAATATTTATACTACATGTATTTCCGTAGCTACTTTTAGATGGGCAATACTTTAAAAGGGAAAATAGTGGTACACATAGAAATATTCAAAATTTTCATAAACTGCATATGTGATTGCTTGACCGTATGTTGTTTAGAATGTCCCTCTCGAAAATTTTTCACTCGTATGGAGACGCCACCACTTGCCGGTGGAGGGCTACAAATTTTGGGTGAGGGCCTTTGAGCAGGGAGGAATCTTTTTTGTGCCAGCACCTACAGCGACACGGGGCCTCGGTTTATACGGTCTCATCCAAGGACCGGTCTCCATGTCCCACAGTGGGATTTGAATTAGCGATGTAAGGATTGACTCCTTACTTCCCGACTCTAGAGCAGACGCTTTAATCACTGCACCACGTGGGCGACAACTGCATATGTGAAGTTTCATACCTGATATATACACAAGTATGTGAGAACTGCATTGACATCATCTGATCATAAATTCTATGATATTAAATTAGAAAAGTAACAACCATATTTTGATCTGAAGGCTCTAGTGAAAACTGCATGATTGATATAAACAGCTGACACTATTAAAACGGCAAACAAATGTTAACAAACCTTTAATCCTTTATCCAGGTACACATTATATGTGTGGAGGAAATTCGGAAGAACTTCTTGTGCATACACACGAGTACGGATAGAATTAAATTTTAGTCTCTTGGTATTTGAAAAAACACATATGGTTCTCACAAATCACTGGGTATTGATAAGTAAGAATAATGACTTTTATACGCGTAACTCTGCATATGCATGCATAGCAGACTACCTTACAAGTAGGAACGAACTATAGCACACCTGCATTTTCTCTTCAATTTTAGACATGCTATTAACAGCATTTGACAAACATGCCCTAAAATATTTAGCCATTTTGTGCTAGAGGTAATCGAAAAAATAAATGAAATTCTACTTACGAGTGTTTTTGTTCACTAAACCAATGTATGTGGGTTAATCTTGACCATCACAACTACTCCCTTCCACGTGGAAACATGTTTACAAAATCGAGAGGTGCTGTTTTGACACTTTAAAGTGCAATAGCACTTGACAGAATAAGAAACTGCAAACCTACTTTCACTTTTCAGGTAAAGAAACGTTTGTTCTTCAACTTTTTGCAATTTACAAATCTTATAAATCGAGATAACATAAAGTTTTACCTCTTTTTTCATGTTGAATTTCTCTCTCGATTTTCACCTGTAGCATGTTGGTCTCGCTGAATTCTCGCGAGGAAAGCTGTTCGGACGTTTACGGATTTTGTTCATATTTTATTACGTTTATCTCCGAATTCTTCCGATTTATGCTAATGAGGTTAGGAGGTGTGAAAACAATAAGTGGGCCATCTCATCTCATCTCCAATGATGGTCTCCGGAGGAATGGTTGCAGTGCAGTCTTTGTGTCCTATGCAGGTAACCTCCTTTCGTTTGCTTCGTAGTTGTGCACTTTTCTTGCATAGTTTAATCCCACAGAAAACTGCTACATGTACCACATTTTTCCTCTGGGTTACATTTTCACTTATGGTATACGTCACTTGGGTGGCAGCTTGGAATGGGGTTTTCCCAACGGAACTGAAGGTGGCATAATTGTGTCGAGCATCTCCTTCTGCTCTGATGGGGGTAAAGACCGTATCAGGAAGTACACATTTTTCTTTAAGTTCTTGAATATTTTGCCAAATTTTCTTCATACTGTTTTTATATAATTTTTCTCACTTTGTTGCAGGTCTGTTGCATGTTGGCGGCTGATGCTGGTTCAATATTTGCACCAAGAAGCATATCATGCATACCCTCTGTTGTGAGACAGGTACCCAGGTGACCGACAGCCATGGCCACATTCAGCTGCACAGCTAGCTCTTCATCCCCTGCCAGATCTTCTCACCTCTTCGTAAAGCTTTTCTTGGTGACTGGTATAGTGGCGTTTCTTAATCGGATGGAAAGGATCCATGCCAGGCCTTGTTTTTCGTCCCCATGCTGATTCCAGTCCAGTGAACCATCACAGTCTGGAAACTTATGTGAGTGTACTATAAATGCATTGTTCCACAATTTAGCAGTCTTTTCTTGGTAAAATACTTTGTATAATTTTGAATTTGGGTCAACTGACACAGATTCCATGTAGGTGTCTACTGGCTGGACCTCACTTGGCCCGGATCGTAGAAACTTCATCTCGCTGCTTTGACTCTCTGCATCTATAACTGCAAACAATCCATTTTTCTGTGGCGGTACAATGTCCTGAAACTCCTCTTTACTTAGTCTTCTTATGGGAACTAGAAGTTGGTCTGGGCTGGTGGTCCCTATTTTCTTCTGGTCTTTGTTGTGAGGAATTCTTTCTTTTTTGTATTGTTGTTGATGCAACCATTTTGGTCTTTTTTGGCATGATAATTATTAGCTCACCTGAGCCAAAGGCTCAAGTGAGCTTTTCTGATCAAAATTTGTCCATTGTCTGTCGTCGTTGTCGTTGTTGTCGTCGTTAACTTTTCACATTTTCATCTTCTTCTCAAGAACCACTGGGCCAATTTCAACCAAACTTGGCACAAAATATCATTATATGAAGGGGATTCAAGTTTGTTCAAATGAAGGGCCACGCCCTTTTCCAAGGGGAGATAATCATGAATTTGTTAAAAATTAATGGCATTTTTAAAAAATCTTCTTCTCCAGAACCGCTGGGCCAGGAAAGATGAAACTCATGTGGAAGCATCCTCAGGTAGTGTAGATTCAAGTTTGTTCAAATCATGACCCCCGGGGCAAGGGTGGGGCCAAAATGGCCGACCCAAGTTTTACATAGGAATATATAGGAAAAATCTTTAAAAATCTTCTCCAGAACCACTGGGCTAGGAAAGATGAAACTCATGTGGAATCATCCTCAGATAGTGTAGATTCAAGTTTGTTCAAATCATGACCCCCCGGGGCAAGGGTGGGGCCAAAATGGCCGACCAAAGTTTTACATAGGAATATATAGGAAAAATCTTTAAAAATCTTCTTCTCCAGAACCACTAGGACAGGAAAGATGAAACTCATGTGGAAGCATCCTCAGGTAGTGTAGATTCAAGTTTGTTCAAATCATGACCCCCGGGGCAAGGGTGGGGCCAAAATGGCCGACCCAAGTTTTACATAGGAATATATAGGAAAAATCTTTAAAAATCTTCTCCAGAACCACTGGGCTAGGAAAGATGAAACTCATGTGGAAGCATCCTCAGGTAGTGTAGATTCAAGTTTGTTCAAATCATGACCCCCCGGGGCAAGGGTGGGGCCAAAATGGCCGACCAAAGTTTTACATAGGAATATATAGGAAAAATCTTTAAAAATCTTCTTCTCCAGAACCACTAGGACAGGAAAGATGAAACTCATTTGGAAGCATCCTCAGGTAGTGTAGATTCAAGTTTGTTCAAATCATGACCCCCGGGGCAAGGGTGGGGCCAAAATGGCCGACCCAAGTTTTACAAAGGAATATATAGGAAAAATCTTTAAAAATCTTCTTCTCCAGAACCACTGGGCTAGGAAAAATGAAACTCATGTGGAATCATCCTCAGGTAGTGTAGATTCAAATTTGTCCAAATCATGACCCCCGGCCCTGGGGCAAGGGTGGGGCCAAAAAGGCCGACCCAAGTTTTACATAGGAATATATAGGAAAAATCTTTAAAAATCTTCTTCTCCAGAACCACTGGGCTAGGAAAGATGAAACTCATGTGGAAGCATCCTCAGGTAGTGTAGATTCAAGTTTGTTCAAATCATTACCCCAGGGGCAAGGGTGGGGCCAAAATGGCCGACCCAAGTTTTACATAGGAATATATAGGAAAAATCTTTAAAAATCTTCTTCTCCACAACCACTGGGCCAGGAAAGATGAAACTCATGTGGAATCATCCTTAGGTAGTGTAGATTCAAGTTTGTTCAAATCATGACCCCAGGGGCAAGGATGGGGCCAAAATGGCCGACCCAAGTTTTACAAAGGAATATATAGGAAATATCTTTAAAAATCCTTCTCAATTACCACTGGGCAAGGAAAGATGAAACTGATAGGGAAGCCATCCTCAGGTAGTGTAGACTCAAGTTTTTTCAAATCATGACCCCCGGCCCTGGGGATAGGGTGGGGCCAAAATGGCCGACCCAAGTTTTACATAGGGATATATAGGGAAACCTTTTAAAATCTTCTTTTCAAGTACTTCAAAGCTATGATTAGTGATACCTGGGGTATTTATATGGAATCATCCTCAGGTAGTGTAGATTCTAGTTTGTTCAAATGATGAACGCCTGGAAGGGGGGAAGGGGGGAGTAAATTCAAGCCTGATGTGCTCAGGTGAGCGCTGTGGCCCCTGGGCCTCTTGTTTAACTGTATACTTGTAGACTTTTTCTAAGAAAATGCTATTGTATGTGGTGTACATTTTTAAGTATTGTAAACTTTTGTATTGTTTATTTATTTTAGAGCTGTCAGGTCTTATAAGAGAAACTCCATTCTTTGATGACTGATGGAAAAGCCTCATCATCCCCCATCTTTATCTTTAATCACCAGCCATTCATCAGTGATCAGTGTTACCAAAGCTCCAAGGTACGTTATTGAAGTCTCTTTTGACACCATTTTTTCTAGTCTCTGCATGACTTTGTTTTACAATTAAGATTTTCACTTTTTAGCTCACCTGAGCCGAAGGCTCAAGTGACCTTTTCTGATCACATTTTGTCCGTCGTCCGTTCGTCTGTCTGTCCGTCTGTAAACTTTTCACATTTTTGACTTCTTCTCAAGAACCACTGGGCCAATTTTGACCAAACTTGGTACAAAGCATCCTTGGGTGAAGGGGAATCTAAATTGTTAAAATGAAGGGACATATCCCCTCGCAAGGGGAGATAATCAAGAAAGGACAAAAATAGGGTGGGGTCATTAAAAAATCTTCTTCTCAAGAACCACTGGGCCAGTAAAGCTGAAACTTATGTGGAAGCATCCTGGGGTAGTGTAGATTTTAAATTGTTCAAATCATGACCCCCGGGGGAAGGGCGGGGCCACAATGGGGAATCAAAGTTTTATATAGAAATATATAGGAAAAATCTTTGAAAATCTTCTCAAGAACCACTGGGCCAGAAAAGCTGAAACTTATGTGGAAGCATCCTGGTATAGTGTAGATTCTAAATTGTTCAAATCATGACCCCCGGGGGAAGGGTGGGGCCACAATGGGGAATCAAAGTTTTATATAGAAATGTGTAAGAAAAATCTTTAAAAATCTTTTCAAGAACCACTGGGTCAGAAATGCTGAAACTTATGTGGAAGCATCCTGGTATAGTGTAGATTCTAAATTGTTCAAATCATGACCCCCGGGGGAAGGGCGGGGCCACAATGGGGAATCAAAGTTTTACATAGAAAGATATAGGAAAAATCTTTGAAAATCTTCTTCTCAAGAACCACTGGGCCAGAAAAGCTGAAATTTATGTGGAAGCATCCTGGTATAGTGTACATTCTAAATTGTTCAAATCATGACCCCCGGGGGAAGGGCGGGGCCACAATGGGGAATCAAAGTTTTATATAGAAATATATAGGAAAAATCTTTAAAAATGTTCTTCTCAAGAACCACTGGGCCAGAAAAGCTGAAACTTATGTGGAAGCATCCTGGTATAGTGTAGATTCTAAATGTTCAAATCATGACCCCCGGGGGAAGGGCGGAGCCACAATGGGGAATCAAAGTTTTATATAAAAAGACTATAGGAAAAATCTTTGAAAATCTTCTTCTCAAGAACCACTGGGCCAGAAAAGCTGAAATTTATGTGGAAGCATCCTGGTATAGTGTAAATTCTAAATTGTTCAAATCATGACCCCCGGGGGAAGGGCGGGGCCACAATGGGTAATCAAAGTTTTACATAGAAAGATATAGGAAAAATCTTTGAAAATCTTCTTCTAAAGAACCACTGGGCCAGAAAAGCTGAAACTTATGTGGAAGCATCCTGGTATAATGTAGATTCTAAATTGTTCAAATCATGACCCCCGGGGGAAGGGTGGGGCCACAATGGGGAATCAAAGTTTTATGTAGAAATGTATAAGAAAAATCTTTGAAAATATTCTTCTCAAGAACCACTGGGCCAGAAAAGCTGAAACTTATGTGGAAGCATCCTGGTATAATGTAGATTCTAAATTGTTCAAATCATGACCCCCGGGGGAAGGGCGGGGCCACAATGGGGAATCAAAGTTTTACATAGAAAGATATAGGAAAAATCTTTGAAAATCTTCTTCTCAAGAACCACTGGGCCAGAAAAGCTGAAACTTATGTGGAAGCATCCTGGTATAGTGTAGATTCTTAATTGTTTAAATCATGACCCCTGGGGGAAGGGCGGGGCCACAATGGGGAATCAAAGTTTTATATAGAAATATATAGGAAAAATCTTTGAAAGTTTTCTTCTCAAGAACCACTGGGCCAGAAAAAGTGAAGCTTATGTGGAAGCATTTTTGGGTAGTGTAAATTCTAAATTGTAGGAATCATGACCCCCGGGGGAAGGGTGGGGCCATTATAGGGAATCAAAGTTTTACATAGAAATATATAGGAAAAATCTTTGAAAATCTTCTTCTCAGGAACCACTGGGCCAAAAAAGCTGAAACATATGTGCCCATGGAGAGTTCATGGGGTAGTGTAGATTTCAAAATGTCTAAATTATGATCAGTGGGGTAGGGTGGGGATGCATTATGTATAACAAGGGGGAAATCTGGTAAAGAACAGAATGGTCAAAGCTTCTCAGGTGAGCGATGTGGCCCATGGTTTCCGAAATGAGGCATCACATCAAGTCCTTCAGCAAAAGGGAGCTGAAAGTGACTGATGAGGAAAATCGACGCTTCTTTCCTTTGGAAAAGGACATAAGAAACCTTATGGATTTTTTTAAGGAGCAGACTAGGTATCTATTTCAGTATTACAGCTTCCTTTCTTTATGAGCCTTTGGCTCAGAGGAGCTAAATAACAAGACCTGTTGATTGAGTTTTGTATTTGTTGTAATTTAATTTTTAGGCAATGTTTGTAAATCTTATTTATACATGTACAGTAAAACTCGGTTATAACAAAGACGCTTGGACCTGTAAAATTTCTTTGATATATCCGTAATTCGTTATATCCGTATAAGGAATTTGTTAAATTTATATAGCTGGAGATCCAAGATAACTTCGCTATATCCTTGAATTTGCATTATTTGTGTTAGTACTAAACGAGTTTTACTGTACATAAACTATTATAAAATATATGTAATTGTGGATGTTTTAACTATACAAAAATCAAAGTTTTTACAATTCAGGTTTTCAAAAGACGACAAAGAGAATTTAAGACAAATTATTGAAAACTTTAAGGCAGCAAATGAGGAGGATAGCTTTTATCTTGATATATCAGGGTATGGAATATATATTTTTTGTTTATACTTGAATTAAAAAGAATGCTACAAAAAATTAATAGGGGCATACTGTATTAATTGTCCATTGCTGTGTTTATAAAAACAATTCATAGAAGTGTGCCTGTGTAAGAGTTTAAACATACCGGTAAGAATAATTTTATGAAAATCCCATATATAAGAACCTCGATCAATAGATTAAAAATTGGGGGGGAAATATTCCTCGCAATGATGTATTTAGTACTTGACATAATTTGAATTAGATAAAACATGGCTGTATTTATCATAATATGTATTTTTTCAGTTTGTTTGAATTGATTTAAAATAAGACATTGCAAATGTACACTTTGCAGAACTGAAGAATTCCTCTTTGTTGGGCAGACAGAGTCTCAGAAAAGGCTCCTTAAAATGTATGGCCAGGAAATATTGCCTTTTAGATGCCAACTACAATACTACCAAGTACAATTTGCCTGCCTTTTTTGTATGTGTGAACACAAACGTTGGCTATTCCACCATTGGATGCTTCATTACTGCAGATGAAACAAAAGCTTCCATCAAAAGAGGTCTGCAGTATTTGAAGCAGTGGAATGCAAACTGGGATCCCAAATTCTTCATGACTGACTTTGATACGTCAGAAATAGGTGCTCTAGAGGAAACTTTCCCAGGTATCAATAGTTTTGGATTACAGAAGATTATGATTAGAAGTTATTATTAAAGTGCTGATCAAAATCTGTTGAAATATTAGTTTTTGAAACTATCTATCTGTAGTTGATAAATCAAGTTTTACTTTGATATTAATATAATGCATGCACATTTTCTACTAAAATACTATCTATTACAGGCTAAGTTTGGTAAGTTACCATCAACTAGATTAAGATTTGTACAGATGTGGGCTTTTTGTCTCGTGTGCTCCTATCCAAACACCTTCTTAAAAATTCTTTGATCATTCATCATTTTTCATTTTTCCATCATAAAATCACATATAGCTAGTATAATCAGATAAGATCAATCATGGTATTTTGAAGTAATTTAACACATGTATTTTCCTAACTTCACTTCACTTACAACTCATAATAACCACATACATGTGCTAAATGCAAATTTGTGTATCAATTTTGCATTCTCTTTCCTTCTCTCTGTTTCTCTGTGTATAGAATTTAATAAATATAGGCTATATTGGTAAAGGTTTTTTTTTATGTTAGGAAGATATATATATCTATATGGAAGTATGTACCACAGTAGTCATTTATGAATAATTATTCTTTTTATATCTTTGAGGTTTGTATAGATAAAATTGCCTAAAACAAAAACACTTAGTCATGTTAGTTGTAAACAATCTTTTTCAGTTTCAGTTGCTTTTAATATTGTTGAAAACTATGGTAAACCTACAATTATAGCCAACTCACTTTAGTATGCTAAAAAAATTGAAATAATTTTCTCTAACTATTACTGTTACTTTAGTTCATTGTGGATATGTGATTTTTTTTTCATGCCAACCAGGAGACATTTGAGTGTGATTTGAAATACTCATAAGTATATATGTTCATATATTAACATTCAAAATTTGTCTAGCAAGTGCAGTATGTATGTAACATTAAGGCAATGTGTGTGTGTGGTTTGTTTTTTTGTTTTTTAGCTCACCTGAGCCGAAGGCTCAAGTGAGCTTTTCTGATCACATTTTGTCCGTCGTCCGTCCGTCTGTCCGTCCGTCCGTCCGTCTGTAACCTTTTCACATTTTCGACTTCTTCTCAAGAACCAATGGGCCAATTTTAACCAAACTTGGTACAAAGGATCCTTGGGTAAAAGGGAATTTAAATTGTTAAAATGAAGGGCCAAGCCCCCTTATAAGGGGAGATAATCAAAAAAGACAAAAATAGGATGGGGTCACTAAAAAATCTTCTTTTCAAGAACCACTGGGCCAGGAAAGCTGAAACTTATGTGGAAGCATCCTTGGGAAGTGTAGATATTAAATTGTTAAAATCATGACCCCTGGGGGTAGGGCATGGCTACAATAGGGAATCCAAGTTTTACATAGAAATATATAGAACAAATCTTTAAAAATCTTCTTCTCAAGAACCACTGGGCCAGGAAAGCTGAAACTTATGTGAAAGCATCCTTGGGTAGCGTAGATATTAAATTCTTAAAATCATGACCCCCGGGGGTAGGGCGGGGCCCCAATAGGGAATCCAAGTTTTACATAGAAATATATAAAACAAATCTTCAAAAATCTTCTTCTCAAGAACCACGGGGCCAGGAAAGCTGAAACTTATGTGGAAGCATACTTGGGTAGTGTAGATATTAAATTGTTAAAATCATGACCCCCGGGGGTAGGGCGGGGCCCCAATGTGGAATCAATGTTTTACATAGAAATATATAAAACAAATCTTTAAAAATCTTCTTCTCAAGTACCACTGGGCCAGGAAAGCTGAAACTTATGTGAAAGCATCCTTGGGTAGCGTAGATATTAAATTGTTAAAATCATGACCCCCGGGGTTGGGCGGTGCCCCAATAGGGAATCCAAGTTTTACATAGAAATATATAGAACAAATCTTTAAAAATTTTCTTCTCAAGAACCACGGAGCCAGGAAAGCTGAAACTTATGTGGAAGCATACTTGGGTAGTGTAGATATTAAAAATTGTTAACATCATTACCCCTGGGGGTAGGGCGGGGCCACATTAAGGAATCCAAATTTTACATAGAAATATACAGTACAGGCAACAAATCTTTAACCGCGTCCCCTCCGCGGTGTAAATCCTTTCCGCGACACCGTCGCGGGTTTTGATCGCGGTGCTACCTGAACCGTGTTTACACCGCGGCGGAAAGCACCATTATTCTTAGCTTAGATGTTCTTACCTGTAAAGTATTGTCATGATCGTGTCGAAATGAGGGGGGGGGGGGGAGGATTACGATCACATTAATATTAACAGATTTATACCATTACATGGATTCTTTAAAAATTCATTTTTAAGTTTTATCAAATTGTTTAATAAAAAAAAATCTTTCTTTTTTTTTTTTTACCAAAGGTCACTCAAAATTAATTAATTCTCAAAAACGTCTGTTAACAGTAATACATGTACAGTATAGGATGAAATAAAGTCGAATAATTTATCGAATATATTAACTTAAAGTTTATTTTCAAAATCAATAATTCCATCCCAAATGATCTTCAAATTGCTAAAAAGGTATGATTAAAATTTAAAGAATGCTATGATATCGCTTCTCTTTATATGCACTGTAATCCGGCGTTCACAGCCCGTGCAGTTGCAGTTACATGTACATGTAGCTATGTGTTTATTTATCTGCGAGATTATATCAGTCATTTGAAATATATAGAAAAACCGTTACTTTTATACATGTCTGTTATAAATAACAGCATGAAAAACGATGATAGATAGTGATACATAATTACGATTAAATTTTAACAAAACACGCCTAAGTGTAGGAATACCGTTGCTCCATTATTATGCGCTACACTGTAAGACTATGAACTAAATATTGACGATTTTTTTTTTGTGGAGTGGGGGGGGGGGTTCTTGTTAATAAAATAATCACAGGTATTTCTATTCAGAATATCAATAATATCATAGCTAGTATTTGAATGTATTTCTATTTTCTGCTCTTTTCGAAAATTACTAAAATCATGTTTATGAACATAAACAAATTTCAGATTTCTCCGGTTCAAATAAAACACAAACACAAATATGGGCCCTTAAAATATTTGAACACACAACACAGAAATTAACTTATTTTAATCAGCAAGTTGCCATGCTTCAAGTTTTCAGATGTCTGTGTAACCGTTCGGTTTTCCTCAGGTAAGTTTGGTGTGGAGTGGACTCGAAGCGGATGAGAAGCCCCGAGGGAACGACGCTGTCTAATTGTACATACTACCTATATACACAGGATGTTACCTGAGTGTATTACCTGTATGCGTTTTCCTAAGACATTGTAAAACGAAGCCTTTTTTTTTTTCATGTGTAGCTCATGAATTGAAATGCATGAAATAATGTTTTTGTTGCAGACAGAATCCTTTATAAATTTTTTGTTTCAAATAAATATTTTCAATAATTCGACAATTTTGATATACTGTGTTTTTCTTAATCAAATTTTATAACAAAAATACATTTTATTTTACCACCAAAATTTGTTGTTGTAATCTGGCGACAAAAAGGGAAGTAATTCAAATTACATGTCATGTACATATGTTAAATAAAGAAGAAAGTGGATCATAAACAAGTCTCTCGATAAATAACAATAAAACGGGGACAGGAAAGTCAATAAACTGATAAATCAGCGGTAGTTTTATTCGCTAGACTAAAGAAATTGATATACTGATCAAAAAGGAGGAAAAACGATCTTGCACAATGTTGCACGTGCCTTAATATTGGGATATTTTTCTTCTCGATCTCTCTCTCCTCTTTCAATCTTCTAACTGGTACAGATATAAACAGACACGAAATATAATATCATTATTTGATTTAATATATCAAATACTTCATTAATTTCTTTAATAGTTTTTTTTTTACTTTTATTCTTTTTATGCACTCCGTTTAAAAAAAAAGCAACAATAATTTGACACAAATTCCAAGGCTAAGTCGTATCTGAAAATGATATCGATGAAATAATAATGAAACAATGAATCAAATGTGTTGTTGAATGGTAGACAACGATGTGCACATCCAGCGAGCGTTACCCAAGGTATACTATAAGACCGGTGTGACCCCAGGGCATGTCGTTTCCTGCTCAGGCACTGCTAATCCCTATACACAGGAAATGATCGCGGCTAATACTTAATACACAAAGAAACAGAATTTGTCAAAGAAAACAAAAATATATGAAGTTTTGCATTGAATATTTATATATAAACTATAATCTTTATCATTAAAATCTTCTTATCTAAGAACCGAAACTGAGAAATATTAAAATTAAAAAGAAATACATTGTATTAAAAAGTAAAACATGTTAATGTGAAGGTGATAAACGATATTTTTTCTTGATCTCTTGTATAAAGTTCACGTGCTCAAAGTTAACTCTCGTCATCGAATGCTTTAGTCATTGACAATTTGAGAAAAATGCATGCATATTTATATAAAAGAGGGAAATACATTAAAGAAAATTAATTAATTAAATTAACTTAATTTGGGAACAGAACATAAACGATGAGAAATAAGGAAGAATAGAACTTTTTCTTGATATCTTGGATAAAGAAAATTTAAGTTCACTGCCCACTACATGTAACTGCAAATGCTCGTCATCGGATGTTTTCCAGGTAATTTGACACTTTAAGAAAAAGCCTGTACTTTTTATATACAATAAATCGAAATTAATTAATAAACAATATGAAGATGTACATTTTTTAAAAGATGTACATCTTTTGTTTGAATGCTAATCGTTAATTCGAAACTTAAACAGTCTGAGTTCAACATTTATTACAGTTTGCATATAATATGAAGATTAAAAAAAAAACTAATTAAAATTTCTAGTATTTAATTTTGTTTCTTGATAGATTCTTAATAACACAAAATAATTAACCAATTGCGAAGACGTAAAAATTTATTAAAATTTTCTATTTAATTTCAAAGATTGATATGTAATTTTAGAAACAAAAATAAACTTATTTTTTCTTAGTTTAAATTCTATTCATAGCAAAATTTATGAATAAACACACGGTTTTTTTGTTTTTGTTTGTTTGTTTCTTTGTTTTTGTTTTTGTTTTTTTTTTTGTTACAGGGAAAATTCGCAAATTACAATTCGGGAGATAATTCCCGTTTGTTTACGATACTAATTGTCAGTAATTGATAGATGATTTAACCGCGGCGGGGACAGGTAAGTGATTTTCCCGCGGAGGGAACGCGGTTTACCTGTTTACCCGGCCAAATACCGCGTTGTGATTATACCGCGGCGGGGACGCGGGAAATAGATCCGCGTTGCCTGTACTGTATAGAACAAATCTTTAAAAACCCTCTTCTCAAGAACCACTGGGCCAGGAAAGCTGAAACTTATGTGGAAGCATACTTGGGTAGTGTAGATATTAAATTGTTAAAATCATGACCCCTGGGGGTAGGGCTGGGCCACAATAGGGAATCCAAATTTTTACATAGAAATATATAGAACAAATCTT